AGCACATTTAAACTCCCTCTGTTGACACACGACACAGGTGTCCATATGAACGACAGAGCCGCAGGAAAGCATCGTAATTACGACCCCACGGACCACAGCCACATTGCCGGTGCAGGTCTTGGTGTTGCTCTTCCTGGCCAGGGCATCTCAGGCGGGATGCTCCACTTCTGCATGCCTCGCCTCCATTGCCCCACCCGTAACACAGGAAAATAGCAGTCCTTGCCACACACAGTCACCGAGGAGGCCGAGCTGGTGCGCCGAGCCATACCGAGGTGGGTATGGAAGGGGCCAGCCAGGCGCTGTCTCCCAGGGCTGCGGCCTGACAGCCCTCAGAGGCAGGGCCAGTGCCTGGGGCCATCTTGGACCTTGGCAACCTCTCCTGCTCCTGCAGGTCCCTTGCCAACCACCGTTGCCTGTGGAGGGGCTGCAGCTCCTGTGGGGCCCTCCTGCTGCCACCTCCTGACTTGTCAAGCTGATGAGCGCTGGTGCAGTCCCACCCTAGTGGAGCGTGTCTCCTCTTTGTAGTCGCCCATTTCCAGTGGGCGGATGGGGAAAGGTCTGGACATTTACGCAGCTCTTCTGGGTACCTGGTTTCCTTCCTCACAAGGGTGGGAAGTGGCCATTAGTAGTAACCTTGCTTCACGGTGAGGACTCTGTGCTGTGACCACAAGGACTTTTGGAGCTGGCCTGACCCTTAGTGGCCACATGTGGGAATTACTCCACCTTGGAGGAGGCTCCCAGGGCTTTGCAGGCGGATTTGGGGCTTGGTCACTCACCCTCCACTTGGTAGGGGATGGCAGAGTCAAGTGGTGGCTGGAGGGTAGGGGGCTGGCTGGGGCTGGGGGTGGGAGAGATTCTAGCTTCTCTATCATTCCCCAAAAATACAGTTCGATAAGAACAATTGCTGCTGTTACAATTTTATGCAAAAGATGAAAAGCATCTTTAAAAAAGTCGCTGTTTTTACTAATTCATAACCCTTAGAAATTTGTACTATTTTTTTTCCTATAGGGCATATGCACTCACTGGAAAGAGAGAGAGAAAGAAGGCATCCCCCAGGGAGGAGAGCCATGCTGCAATCTCTTCCCTGTTCTTCTCCTGGGATTTTGGGCACACACACATGCTCCCAGCATGCTTTTCAAGCCGGCAGGTCTGGGACTTGAACTCCTCGGTCGGCCATGTGGGATCCAGCCGCCTTAACCACCACAGCGCCTGCTGGCCTTGTACTTTGTTTCTTACACACTTTGATGCTTCGTGGTGGCCTTTCCTTTGAGCGCACAGAGTCCTCAGGCTTCCACCTAGACCCTAACATGTACGGGGTGCTCAGTGCGGGCAGGGACGTAGAAAAGCTGGGTCATAATAGAGTTAAAAGGCGTGACCCTGACTCCCGGGGGTTCACTCTACTTGGGGAGATAGAGCAGGCACCTGCAGAACACCCTGGCCTGTACGGCAGATTGTCAGCATGGAGCTTCTTATTCCAGTTTGTTCTTTTCTTGTCATTCCTCTGATTCTGACTGAGTCCCTGTTGAACCCAGCTGATGCACCTTCACCCTCAGGAACCCGTTCAGGGTTGCACCGACTGGAGCCTTCGGAGGTGTTTACGTAAGCTGCAGGGCCCTCTGGGCACCGGTCACCCGTCCACGTGGCTAATGCTGGGCCTGGGCTATTTGGTATATAAACGCACATGCGTGGGTTTCCATCCGGTCCTGACTCATCCAGTATTTAGCCTTTTGTCCTTGGCTCCTGAAGCCACTTCAGAACAGCTTCAGAGTGACACAGGTGACAATCTGCCCTTCTCCTGCCCTCTTTTCACCTACCCCAAGGTGGGTCACAGAAACTCTCATCTCCCCTCTCTTTTTTAAAAAATATTATTTTATTATTATTTTAATTTAACCGGAGAGAGAGAGAGAGAGAAAGGGAGAGAAAGCAAGCTGCCAGGTCTAGGACCTGAACCACGGTTGGCCATGTAGGAGTCCAGCACCCCAACCACCACACCACCTGTTGGCCCCAATCTTCCCTCACCTTTAGACCCTCAGCTTGGATGGGTCCTGCCGCACTCCCAGGAGGAGGGAACAGCACAGAGAGGCCAAGATTGGAGCAGGCGGACCTGGCCGGGCTTCTCCGCCCAGTCTATTAGCATCTCATGCCTATGCAATGGGGTCTCCATAAAGACAGGACAGGGTTCAGGACTTCCAGACAGCAGAACTGTGCTGAGGCTTCTAGAAAGGTGAACAGGGAACTCTCCCACGTGCTGGGGGGCTCCGTGGGGAGGGAAGAGCCTGTGCTCAGGACCCTTCCAGATCTCACCCTGTGTATCCTTCATCTGGCTTTTATTTATATCCTTTAAAATGTCCTTATGGGTACGTTGGTGGTATCGTGGTGAAGGCGGCCGGGTCCCACATGGCCTACTGTGCAGTTCAAGTTCAGACCCGATGGCCTGAAAAACACACCGGGTGTGTGCATGTACATGCCCAAAATCCAAAAAAGGAGGGAGAAATGGAAGGGACTGTGGTGTGATTGCCCCCACGGAAGGGGCTGCTTTCTCACTTGCCCCCCAAGTGGTCCCGAGTTCTGTGTACTGCTCTAGCAAATTAGTTGACCCAAGGAAAGGAGGGGATTGTGGGAAGCCCAACTTGTGATTGAAGAGGGGGCAGCGTTGGGGGCTAAGCCCCTATCTTGCAGGACTGCACACTGTTCCCAGGTAGGTGGCTAGGCGAGCTGGATTAGAGGATGCCCAGTTGGTGTCCAAGCAGAAGCTTGCTGGTTGGCAGGGAGAAATCCCCACACGTGCTGGGACTCAAATCAGCAGCTGGCCATGTAGGAGTCCAGCGACGTAAGCACTCTGCCATCTGCTGGTCTCTCTTTCTTTTCTTTTTTGTTAAGAGAGATTTTTGCTACAAGGCACTTGTACTTGCCAGAGAGACAGCAGACAGGAAGTGAGAAATCACGCCTGCCCAGGAGGATGGCCATGCTGCACTCCCTTCTCTTCCAGTGTCCGCTTGGGATTTTGGGCAAGCACACACACGTGCTAGGCATGTTTCAAGCTGCCAAGTCCAGGACTCGAACCACAGTCTGCCACGTGGGAGTCCAGCACCTTAAGCACTACGCCACCTGCTGGCCCCAACCCTCCTGTCTTTTCTTTCCTCTCTCCTCAGTTCTGTTCTTCCCAGTGTAAGCTAGGGAGGGACGAGTCTTACAGAAAACGTCTAAGACCTTAATAAGGAAGAAAAAGGGGAAAATATGGTGTGTATATGAGGGTGGGAGATGCATTATTTCAAATAATGACTCTGCCACATGTGAAGGGCGGCCTTGGCATGCCCCCACCCTTGACGAAGCACAGTGAAACCCAGGGGTCTGTGGCTTGAGTCCTAGACTGCCTCCCGCTGCTCCAAAGCATGAGGACTGCCCCAGCAGCGGTGAGCATGGATGGATGGCAGACCCCCAGGGGCTGCCCTGACAGCACCACAGACGCTGAGCAGGTTCCTGAAGGTGGATTTGCATCAGCTGGGTGAAATAAGACAAAACAAGGCTGATGAGGAGAAACTGCAGTAAGGACTTACGGGCCGGAACGCACTCGCTGGGGCCATCACAGGTGAGCGCGCTCGCCCATGGCACAGGTGTTGTTGAGCCCCCGGCAAGTGCCAGGCACTGTGTGGGCTACCACAGCACCCTCGTCTGTCCACAATAGTGACTGGCAGAGTTCATCGAAGCCCAGGAAGGTGCCCATCCCACCCACTTGGTCGGGTCGACGAACACTGTTCATGGTTAGTCTTACTTCTTTTGCTAAACTCTTCTTGTCCCCCCAGTTTCCCAGGGAATTTTAAAATGAAACACAGAATGACAGACTCTTAGAATTAGAAAGCCTTTATTTCAACTGTTCTATTTCTTTACTTTTTCATTTTCTTTCTTTCTTTTTTTTTTTTTTTTAAGAGGTTTTTGCCTTAGAAAGCATGCACTTGCCAGAGAGAGAGAGAGACAGAGACAGTGAGAAGGAAAATGAGAAATCACCTCCCGGGGGGATGCCCATGCCACAGTCCCTTCTC